GGGCTTGAGGGGTGGCAAAGTTTCCCTGTAGGATTTTCATAAGGCCAAGGGCTCTTCTGTTCTTGCAGCTGCACAGGAAGCCACCTGTAGCCTTGGACACTTGTATTTTCCCTCTCTTGTGCCCGAAAGAGCCCAGAGCACCCCTTCCTATCCCACTGAGGAACAGATCTCCTGGAAATGGCTCTTCCTGATGTCCATGGAGCTGAAATCAAACCACCTAACTGCAGATTCAAGTGGCACCTGCACTAAAGGGGCCTTCAGACTGGGAAAAAGGAGAGGTAGGAGATCTTTCCACATCTGCTTTTACCTGCCTTCCTTGGGTGTGCTTTCTGCCTTTCCATGTTGATTGTGAGGATCCAGAGTGTGGCACCAGGGGACAAGCAGAGCTCAGGGACCCCCGTTTCCAAAAAAAGGGAGTGCAGAACTGCTCTGCAGAGACTGGGAGAACCCAAAACTGCCAATCGCTGCCCCAGATAGAAGGGACCAGGTCACAGAGGACAATGTGCTGCACATCTGGTGCTCCCAAGCTGGGGCTGGTTTGTGCTCAAAAAACAAAAAAGAGAAAAGAAAAAAAGGAAGAAGAAAAAAGGAAAAAAGGGAAGGTTTGGGAAGGTAAGGAGAGAGAAAAAGGAGAGAGAGGAAGAAAAGAAAGAGAGGAAGAAAGAGAGGTTGGTTCTGTATAAGGGCCTGTTTTGGTACCACTCTAGTTTCCCCTTCAACAAGTGCTTGAAGATGAACAAAAAGGCTCTTACCTCCCTCTGGATGTGTCTGCAGGGTTTGTCTCAGACATCCAAAGCAGTTCAGGGAGTGATTCTCCTTCCTCTGGAACAGCTGCTTTCAGTGCCCCTGATTTGCTCTCTGGATACAGAGCTGGATCCTGCTGTCACTTTGCAACAAGAGTCACTGGAATTATTTACTTTTCTTAGGACCATTGGAGCACCTTCATTTCCACCTCCTCTCCTCTTCCTTCTGAGCAATAACTTGCTCATGCATGACTAAAGAAAAAGGCTTTTCATGTGGGATCAGACTTACAGGCCCTGGAGTGCAAAAGGATGAATCCTGTGAACTGTCCGTGCTCAGAATTTCTTCCAACTACCCCAAGCAGAGCTCAGCATCTCCTGAGATCAGGATTAATGAGCAACAGCAACAACAAAACTCTTTACAAAATGAGAATATTGTGCTCACGTTTCTTGGGAGTGGAAGACACAAGTTCTGCAAGTTGCATGACTGGACCTTGACTATGATTCACCTACTCTATCCTCTGGCTTTTCCCCTTCCCTTGGGCCTTCTGAGTCATGACTCCTTAAGCTTTGGCCTAAACTCCAAATCAATAAAGCTGCTTCTACTATTTCTCTGTGGTCTAGTAAAGTCCAGATGTAGTAAAACAAAGCCAAACTCGTTGAATTTTTATTTCCTTCTGTTTAAAGAATTTAAAACCACAATTTAAAAACATATCTGATTTCTCTTTCTCAGCATAGGGCAGGACTTGGGATACATGGAAGCAACAAGTGAACAAAAAAAATCCATCCTCCTGTGGCTTCCCATCCTCTTTCTTCCATGATATTTCCATTAATCAGGAGTGGAAAACAAAAATATTGGTTTAGCTGCTATGCTGCAACCTCCTCTAGGTTTTCCAGAGTGCAAGCTGTGCACCAGTAAACCTGACCTGCTTATTCTGGATGTGATCCTAAACCTTCCCAGAGCTCCAGAATATTCTCAGTGAGCAATGAAAATACTTCCCAAGGAATCAGTAAAAAAAGGGACACCACTTTTCTGGATGGGATATACTGGTGCCATCACAGATTCACTCACAACTTCCAGTTGAGATTTCCAGTTACACTGGGTGGGGTTTATCCTTCCACACCTTCCCAGGATCCTCTCGGTGCAATCAGGGTAGTAACAGATGGGGCTCATTAGAGAGGCACATTCCTAATAAATATCCCAGCCTTGATACTTGTTAAAATCATTAATTCTAACTTTATGCAACAACAAATTATGCAGGGCAGCTGTGCTGGCAGCACAGTAATTTGTGTCAACCCCCTGGAAATCCCTGGAAAAAGGGATCTGGGAATGAAGAGCCAAAAAAAGGCAGTGGTTTGCTGTTGGCACGATTTAATGAAGGTGTCATTAATGAAGCCACTGATTGGTATCATCTGGGTGGAACAAAAGAAGCAGCACTTCTGCTGCCTTCCATTCCCAGTGCCAGGACTCGGCAGTCATGGCTCAACAATGGGATCTGCTGGAACATCAGCAGGGTTGGAAATAACCCCCCAGAACTCCTCAAGTGCCTTGTGCTGAGGGTGTTCTTGGAGGGCGCAGTTATGAGGGGAAAATACGTATTACTGCCAAGCAGATAATGGGACATGCCTGGGTTAGGACTGTCATTCCATGCTCCAGGTGCCATTCAGGTGCCATCCATGCCAGTTCAGGTGCCGTTTCCCCACGTGCTCCTTTCTGGCAGCTGTTGGGAAGCAGAGAGGTCATGGATTATTAGTTTCACTCCAAGCCCAAACCTACAGAACCAGGCCTGGAACAGATGTTGTCCTCAGTGCAATCTGGACTGTTTGCTTTCCAGAACAGGCTCCCAAATGCCCAAAATATCTTCTATACATCCCCCTGTTACTGGGAAAAGGGTTGCACTGAAAAGGGAAATGGTGCCTTCAGCAATGCCAAGCTCAGGGCAATAATGAGCTCAAACTACTGGGATAATTCCACATCGACAGAAATAGGTAATTTCACCAAACAGCAGGAAAAGCTTGTTTTCCTCTCATTTTATCTGTGGAAATTAGGAGGAATTCTGTTGGATATGCACTGTTGTAAAAACCTTGAGACAGGAGAATAAATCACAGAATCCCAGAATGTTTTGGGTTGGGAGGGACCTCAAAGCTCATCCAGTCCCGTCCCCTGCCATGGACAGGGGCACCTCCCACTATCCCAGGTCGCTCCAAGCCCCATCCAACCTGGCCTTGGACACTTCCAGGGATCCAGAAGCAGCCACAGCTTCTCTGGGCAACCTGTGCCAGGGCCTCCCCACCCTCACAAGGAAGGATTTCTCCCCAGTATCCCACCTAACCCTGCCCTCTGGCAGTGGGAAGCCATTCCCCCTTGTCCTGTCACTCCAAGCCCTTGAAGTGCAGGAATTTTTCTCTCCACATTTGCTGACATGGAAGAAATTCCTGGCACTTCCACCAGCTGCCCAGGCCTGGCTGTGGGAAGGGCTGTGGACCAGCAGAGGTGCTTTAGGAGGCTGTGATGGGAGAAGGTTTCTGGCTCCTCCTGCTCTCCAGCAACATGTTCAGTGTTCAGCTTCCCCTGGAGACACCCTCTCACACCAGGGTCACCAGGAGCGGGCTGCACCACCCAACACAAGTGATTTGGAACCAAGTCACCCTACGGATCACCATTTCCAGCCCTCACACTCTCAGGATACTCCTGCAGCGCAGTCTCCAGGGAGTTAACAGAGTATCCGCTTTCTCCTTCACAGATGACAGGGCAGAAAACACTTTCCTTGCCCTGCAGGGACCCCAGCACTAAAAATCCCAAAGCAACACCTTCAACCTACCACAGGAAGCCCAACAGCAGAGGAAGGTACAAGTTTACTCACCTCCTGGGTGCCATATGCTGGAGGGTAATATTTTGGGCTTTTAGGAAGCTTTGGGTTTCCACATTTTTCATGTGTGAGGAAGTGTCTGCCACCAAGGAACGTTGCTCCATTGAGCTGGAAGCAACAGGTCCAAGTATTCCTGGAGAAGAGATTTTTGGGTTTAGATGGGGTATTAATCGTTTGCTCCATTTCCCTGGAGCAACAGGCACCCAGCTCTGCACCAGGCACAGAGGGAGAGATGTGCTGGAGAGTTAAATCCCACTGTAACCACGTAATTTTCCAGCAGGTTGGGTCCAATCCCGGACACCACGAGCACATGTAGGACACAGTGACAAGCTGTGCTGTGCTGCGGCCCAATGCAGAGTGACAAAAATTCCAGATCCCTAAAAAGAGATTTCAGGAAGTGGCTGAGTGGAAGGGTGAGCAGAGGGAGGTGGTAATTAGATCAGTGGAGGAAGGTGGTAATTAGATCTGCTGCTCACCACGGGCTCAGCCTTCAGCTGTCACTCCCCCACTCCAGGGAACTTGCGGAAAACATTCCTGTCTCCTGGAGTGAGCATCCCTCCTCATCTTGAGCAAATGGGCATCTGGGAGGGAAACTCTTCCATGAAAGCAGAGGAATCCTTGTCCCTGGATGACCAACTCCAGATCTGCCCAGTGGATCTCAGGCATTCATCAGGAATGAAGTGACAGGACAAGGAGTAACGGTACAAATGGAAAGAGGGGAAATTTAGGTTAATATTAGGAAAGAATTCCTCCCTGTGAGGGTGGTGAGGCCCTGGCACACGTTGCCCAGAGAAGCTGTGGCTGCCCCATCCCTGGAAGCGTCCAAGGCCAGGTTGGACAGGGCTTGGAGCAACCTGGGCTAGTGGGCGGTGTCCCTGCCCATGGCAGGGGGGGGAACGAGATGGGCTTTAAGCTCCATTCCAACCCCTTAACATTCTGTGATTCCATGTCCTCTCATGGTTATAACTCTGAATCCCAACCAAAGAGCAGGGCAGATTCCAACATCGGCGTGCTGAGTGCTCCACAGAGGTTTAATGTCATGTCATCTGACCACTTTCTGCTGGACTGATTTTCCAATTGTTCCAGTCTTTATTTTTTGACTAAATTGAGAACTAGTGGGACAACTGTGGCTCAGGGATGTGATGGGGTCACCACCACTCTCTGGAAGTGTTCAGGAGGTGTCTGGGTGTGGCACTCGGTGACATGGTTTAGGGGTGATTATGGTGGTGGTGACTTGACAGCTGGACTAGATGATCTTGAAGATCTCTTCCAACCTTGATGATTCTGTGGAAATTAGGAATGTTAGGTTTAGATTAGATATTAGGGAAAATTTCTTCATGAAAAGGGTTGTCCAGCCCTGGCACAGCTGCCCAGGGCAGTGATAGAGTCCCCATCCCTGAAAATGTTCAGAAAACACATGGATGTGGCACTTTAGGACGTGGCTTAGTGGTGACCCTGGTAGCGGTGCTGACTGGTGGTTGGACTTGATAACCCTAAAGATATTTTCTGGATAATCCCATGCACATGGAATATAAATATTGTACAACACACAGGTTTAGAGCACCTTAAACAGTCAAGTTTCAGTAACAACTCTGGAAAGATCTCACGAGTCCCCATTTTTAATTGCACATTCTCCCTGCAGTGATCCAGTGATTCCAAGACACAGCTCCAGTCCCCTTCCATATTTTCTGATTTTCAGCCAATAGGCAGGACAGCACATCTCATGGCTACAAAAGCTTTGGTAGACTTAAACAAATTAAACAAATCTAGACTGAATCAAAGAATCAAAAGTGAACTAGAGCACAATATTTAGGTGCAGTGAATGCTGTTGCAGTGTTACCAAAACCCCAGGCTCTAACCCCAGGTGTTATATCCTACTAAATTTCCAGCTTCCTGAATTAGAATGAAATTTTAAGGTTGTGAAAGAAATCCCCAAACCATGAACTGAGAATGAAATCAAAAAGATAAAAGTGTGGGTTGGAAAACCAACTGAATTTGGAGTTGGCCTCCAGGTCAGTGGCAGGTGGGGGCTGTGATGGCACAAGGAGGTGAAATGAAGGTTGCAGAGACTCTGAATTATTTTCTCTTCCAAGGCAGGCTGAAGTCATTCTCACCTTATGCAAAATGCAGGGATAATAAATCCCAAATTTAATCCTCATTGTCCCTGCCTAGAGCAGGAGAGCAAACCAGCACCTGCACGGGAACACTAGAGGGAGCAGAGACAAGGGAGAGGATGAAGAGGAGTGAAGATAGGAGAGGAAAAGCCATTCCAGCTTCTGGGGTGGCTTTGAGGAGGAGGGGAAGGGAAAGGGGTTGTGGTTCTGGTGCCTCGAGCATTGTGTCAAATTTAGTGAGCAAACAGAAGGATGAGTGCGACAGGAATGTGTAGGACAGAAGGCACCAGCTGGATTCTCCTTTTCCACGTGTGATTAAGGATTTGGGTTCTGCCAGGTAAGCACTTTTTGGGCATGACTCGTTCAGGCTCAGCTGGTCTCCTGGACAAGCTGGATTCCAGCTCACTGCCCTGGTGCTGCTGGGCCTTTCCTTCTGGGAAAGGGAGAAAACAGGAAGGTATTTTAGCTTAGTGAGCAAGGCAGGCAAAACTCAGACTCAGAAAACCCGCCCATCCTACCTGGTTCTCCCTCAGGTTTGGACTGGAACTTCCCTAAACCACCCCAGCCAGTTCCAGGCTTTCTCGCTGGTCTCCTCAGTGAAAATCCAAGCAGCTCCACCTCCCTTTAAATAATCAGAATATGACAGAGCTGCTCCCTCTCCAGCTTAATTCTCTCCCTTTCAAAGGCATAAGGAGTTATTAGCACTTCAGGAGTTCGTTTTCCAGCTTTGTGCTTTGATCCTCTGCTTCCACCAGGCAGCTGTCCCTGAGCTGCTTCCTGACTTGTTTCATAGTTAATTTGTTTGGAGATCATTGGAAGTCCAAGGGCTCCAGGCACTGGGAACGTGCCAATTAGTGTCAGGTGATTTAATCTGGAGTGGGGCAGGAGGAAGGAGGAGTTTAAACCACTTAAAGGCTTGTCCCTATTGCCACTGAGAACTAGGGAGAGCAGCAGATCTGCTCAGAAAGCCTGTGATTTAAGTTCTAAGAGGTGACCTTGGAGCTCATTTATTTTGGGTGCTCAGCAGATGCTGAGACATGAACTGTGTATGTGAAATACCAGCTTAAGCTGCTCTGTCATGAGGAAGCCAAGCCTCAGCCTCTAATAAATCTTAAAACCACTCCAACAGAAGGTTGGCAAAATAACCTTTTGAGAAGCGGCATTTTGACAGGACTTTTTTTTTAAACCATTAAGTTTTGTTTGCTGGAGCTTTGCCTTGCAAAGTGCTGGATCTGCATCCCAACACGCTGCAGGTTTAGAGAAAATTTCTCAGTGTTGCTTCTTATTTTAAAAATATTCTGAAAAAGTGGATTTGTCGCCTCTAGGTACCTTCTGGACTTTAGGAGATGAAACCTTTGGGATTTATCCCAGTCTTATTACATTAATATATTTTAATTAAATCAGTAGAAGTAATAATTCATAATAATGTAATATCTTCATATTGACAGCTGTCGGAATTAGCCCACACCCTTTCATGAGGGTGACACTACCACCAGTCTTTTTGTGGTAATCCCAATCCAATTTCCCAGCTGTCCTTTTGCGGGCACTAATTCTCCCTTTAGGAGAACTGTGCAGCTTGGAGATATTAAAGTCAGCAAAACTCTCAAGTACAGATTCATTTTCCAGGTTTTCCACTGGAGAATGTTCCTGAGGTCAGCCCTACCCCAGCACCATTTGCTGAGGAAGGATTCCAGCCTCCCTTGCTGGCACAGAGCTCCAAGGAGAATGAAACTGCACCAGGAAAGCTCTACTTTGTACAAATATAATCAAAGTACATGCTGGGGGAAAGCACACACCACAAAAAAATTAGATTTGCTGACACAGGGGCTTTGGCATCGCACATCTTTTCCTGTTCTGGACTAACACAGTTCTCAGGAATCTCCTGGGCAGTCCTCATTAACTACACCAGTGAAAACAGTCTTTTTTTTGCAGCACAAATGAAATTGTAGAAGTGTTTCCACTGGCAAAATGAAAAGAATAAAAAAAAAATCACCCCCTGAAGGGGCACGGGGCCAACGTCCTGCAGTTGGGGCACCACAACCCCCAACAATAAAGGGGAAGAGCAGCTGGAAAGTGTCCAGTGGGAAAGGCCCTGGGGGTGCTGGTGGCAGGGGGGGAACACTAGCCCATTGGGGGAAAGCTGAGACCACCTGGCTTGTGTCAGTCCCAGCGTGTCCACAGGACCAGGCAGTGCCCATCCCTGTGCTGGCACTGCTGGGGCACCTCCAGCCCTGGGGGCAGTCCTGGGCCCCTCATTCCAAGACAGACACTGAGGGGCCGGAGCGTGTGCAGGGAAGGGAACGGAGCTGGGGAAGGGGCTGGAGCAGCAGAAACAGCTGAGGGAGCTGAGGGGGCTCAGCCTGGAGAAAAGGAGGCTCAGGGGGGACCTTCTGGCTCTGCAACCCCCTGACAGGAGGGGGGAGCCAGGGGGGGTCAGGCTCTGCTCCCAGGGAACAAGGGACAGGAGGAGAGGGAACGGCCTCCAGCTGTGCCAGGGGAGGGTCAGGTTGGACATCAGGAGGAATTTCTTGCTGGAAAGGGTGGTCAGGCTTTGGAAGGGGCTGCCCAGGGAGACAGTGGAGTCCCCATCCCTGGAGGTGTCCAAGGAAGGAGTGGCCGTGACACTCAGTGCTCTGGGCTGGGGCACAAGGTGAGCATCGGGCACATCAACAAGGCACAGGACAAGAGGAAATGGCCTCAAGCTGTGCTAGGGGAGGTTCAGGTTGGATATTGAGGAAAATTTCTTCATGGAAAGGGTTGCAAAGCATTGGAATGGAAGTGTTGGAGTCCCCATCCTTGGAAGTGTTCAAAAAACACTTGGGATGTGGCACTTGGGAACAGGCTTATTGGTGAACATGGTGGTGCCAGTTGATGGTTGGACTTGATCTTAAAGGTCTTTTATAACCTTAACAGTCTCTTGATTCCCTGGCACACAAATCCCATGTTCAATCAGCTCCACAGAACAGCTACACAACAGGTTTTGAGTGGAGAGTTCAGGCATCCAGAAAATACGGTGGCAGCTGGTGTGTGGATCAGCAGGAACAAAGCTCTTCAGAATAAAACCGAAAGGGGAGAAATGCTGGGGGGGGGTCTGTGAAAGGGAATAACTGAGAGATGCACAAATGAGCCAACAAACTTCTCACAAGTGACACCACCGGCACAGGTGTGAAGGTACTGGGGTTTTTTCCCCCAGAATTGTGAATCCACAGGCTGAGACATGTGCAGGCACAGGAACTCCAAGGCTCATGCAAGTGCAAGGTGCAAACAGCGACCGCTTAGGAATTGGAAAAAAAAACAACAACGGTAAAGCTTCAAACCTAAACAGCAAGGCAGAAATTTTAATACAACTGTTGGGAAAAACAAAACCAAAGCAGAAATTAATCAAAAACTTCTCACAGTTGCCACATTTCCCAGGGTCACAGATGCTGCTGTGGAAGGAAAACTGGACATTTACTGCTGCAACACATTTTAGCAGAACTGAGCACAACTGGCCAGGAATTTTACTGTGACTGTGTTCACTGATCCTACAGCAGAAAGGGCAGGTAGATCCAAGAGGGGATCACTCTGGAATGCAGTGTTCAGATGTCCTCCCATCATTCAGGAACACCCAGGCTTGGTCCATTTTGTATTTCCAGTTCTGTTTCTTCAGGTGGTCGAATGCCCAGAGAAGCTGTGGCTGCCCCATCCCTGGAAGTGTCCAAGGCCAGGTTGGAGCAACCTGGGCTAATGGAACGTCTCCCTGCCCATGGCAGGGGGTGGAATGAGATGGTCTTTAAGGTCCCTTCCAACCCAAACCATTCTGGGATTCTGTAACTTCTGAAGCCATTGGCCAGTTCAAACCCAATTTCAGAAAAGCCCGGAGAAAATTGTGTTTAGTGAAAAAAAATGAGAGACTGAGTAGAACAAAGGACCAGGAACAGTCTCCTTAAGCAACCTCTTGTGACTAAGAAACAGGAATTGGGTGTCGGCTCATTCGCAATCCCCGGTGACTCACTCGAGTGGGGAATGAAAGGGCATCCTTTGTCTTAAAAAAGCTTCGCACAGGAACGTGGGGTAAGATTGTGTTGTGGCCTGAATGACCTTAAGCTCAAATCCTGATGGAACAGGAGGGTGAGCTCAGTGTGGTCTTTAAATCTGTTCTAACATCCCATTAGCAGCCTCTTCTATGGTGGTGAAACCCAACATTGATTCCACTTGTGCCTAGAAATGAGGCAAAGCATCGTTAAGAACTCCTGTGATGAAATGCTGCTGGCAGAACCACAGAGCCTGCCGAGGTTGCTTACAAATCCCTGTGGCAGTTCTCTGTAAACAGCCCCTGGAATGGGACATGACACAGGGAACTAGCTCTTCCCAAGAACAGCTCTTTCTTTGTGATTTCTGTGCCCGTATATCATCACAAGGTAGCAGAGGCGATTTGTGAGATTCCAAACCTCATCTCTCTGGCTGTATTTTTTCTTCCCTCCAGCTACAATTCCTGTCTCAGGGTATGTGACAGCACTGAGGCTGCTGCAGCAATCAAGGATCCACTCCCAGAATTCCAATTACAAAGGCAAGAGATTCACTTCAGCAAACACCCAGCAAACATCCCCCACTGCTCATAAAACACCCTAGAAAGGGTATTTGTGGAGTATTTGTTTCAGCTGACAGAGCAAGATGCGTAATGATCACTTAGTTCTCATCCCATTCCAACCAAGATTGTTTTAATCATGTCGCTACTATCATGATGTGAAGGTCTAAAGCTGGTTATGCTTTCAGGATATCTTATCATAGAATCCCAGAATGGTTTGGGTTGGAAGGGACCTTAAAGCTCATCTCATTCCACCCCCTGCCATGGGCAGGGACACCTTCCACTAGCCCAGGTTGCTCCAACCTGGCCTTGGACACTTCCAGGGATGGGGCAGCCACAGCTTCTCTGGGCAACCTGTGCCAGAGCCTTCCCACCCTCCCAGCCCAGAATTCCTTCCCAACATCCCATCTAACCCTGCCCTCTGGCAGTCTGAAGTCGTTTCCCCTTGTCCTGTCCCTCTATCTCTTGTCCAAAATCCCCCTCCAGCTCTCCTGAAGCCTCTTTAGGCACTGGAAAGTTTCATCGCAGGTGACAAAACCCTACTGGAGGAAGATAACCCTTCAACCCCACAGATTTAGCCAGATAGTGCTGTGTGCTGGGTAAAACATTCCTTCTGGCTCTTCCAGCCCCTGACCAACTTGTATTCACTGCCAGGAGCACCCTGGGAGAGCTATTTAACCACTGATCCTGCATTATTAAATGGGAGATTAATTAAACCCCGTAAAGTGTTAGTCATTGATTTTCATGCCTTCCTGCAGTGTTATATGTGGTGCTCTTTCTCAGGGACTTAAACCCATTGCTCTTGCTTTTGTGTCAAGGTTATGAGATTAAGAGAAACCAATCACTTTTCATTTAAGCTCTGTGTAACTCTAGACAAATAAAACAGAATGACTCCAGGATTACAATCTCCTCAACTAAAGAGATGTCTTAAAACCTCATTGGCCTCCAAGTAAATAATTAAAACCCACAAGTTCCTATTTCCTAGACTTGTTCCCTGCAGTCAAACATGCACCTGCTCACATTAATGGTGATCACCCAATATTGGTCTTTTGCCTTTATTCGGCAGGGCAGAGCCCCCAGAGCCCTCAGAGTGGGAGTTGGACTCTGTCCTGACCCAAACACGAGGAACAGAGCCCAGTTAACCCAATTCTGCTCCCAGGATGGCTCCTGATGGTGCTGAGCCAGGAGAGCTCAGTTTGACTCCCCACATTGAGCTGCAGCTGGAAATTATGAAGCAGCCCAACTTTCTATTTAGAAAGACCCTGAGATAGAGAAGCCACTGAGAAACCACCACCATGGAGTTACTGTGGGATCACTCACCAATTAAAGCCATAAAACACTTTGAAGCAAATGTTTACACTTTGCTCCATAAAATAGAGTGGGGAAAAGAGTGGGAGGAAAATGTAGCAGGCCAAAAAAGCTGACATTTGTGTAAATACCTGCCTCCAACCCTTCAGTTCCTAACCTTGCAGGATTTCAAAGTCCGTCACTTGTTTTAGCACACCAGCTGCTTCTCCCTCAGAGCTGGTGACAGCGGGAGAGTGAGAATGACACCACTTGGAGATAAACCAGCTTTAGTGAAAAACAACATTTATATATATATATATAAATATATATATATATATTACACACAATATTCCAAGTTAAAAGAACATTACTGAAAAAGCTAAGGCAAATATTCCAAAGTTAAGAAATTCCAGGATCAAATGGCCTGTGCAACCTTAATTGGAGCCTCTTGTGTGATGCAGCGTTACTGTCACCTCCAATCACACAATCATGTACTAATATTTCTGCAGGGCCCTTGCCCCCCTCAGAGGAGAGGGTGGATGATTCTAAATTAATGAGCAGCTATTTAATATTTGTTTTCTCTTCTTGTTCAGTGTGCAGCCCATTTCTGATGGTTCCCCTCCTCAGGGGTTACTCAGAAACAGCTGAACAACCCCCTGATTCAATGTTTAATTACAGAACAAGATAATTTTGTCTCTGCTTAGTTTAACCCACTTCACCAAACTCAGGTTCTACTCTGAGCACATGTGATTAATTTATTCCTGGCTTTTCCAAAGCTCACATTATGAATACATTTTTGATTAACTTATTGTCCCATTTTATTTATATATCGTTCCATTTTATCTCGACCGAGTGGTGAAAAAATTATTAGAAAGTCTCTGTGTTGTAAAAGTGTTCATAAATTTGGGATATCCAATTTAGAAAATGAGATCATGCTTTTTACAGGGTGCTTAGTGTTATATGGGGCTTTAAATGCTGCAAACTCAGGTCCAGCTGCAGCTCCAAGAACACAGAGCAGATATTGCCTCAAATTGAGCAGCCAGAAAATGAGGAGCATCCAGTTAATGAACACTTTGAAAAAGGTTTCATTTGCAGCAACTGAGCCTTAGAATCTCGGTGGTGAAGGTAGAAATTAAATAAAGATTCGGGGCTGCTTTGAGCTGTGGAACTACAAAACCCAGGGCTGGGTTGTCGACACACTGAGCTGGGCAAATGCACCCAGAGCCACGACCCCAAAGGCTCAAGGGCCACACCACAAAAACAGGGAAAAGAGAGGGAGAAGCCCCTAAATCACCAGGATAAAGGGACTCACCACTCCCTAGGGTCAGACACACTTCTACAGCTCAGCTGCCATGTGAGACCATTTATCCTGCACTTTAACTTATTGCTTGGGCTCTATTTCCAAACTGCTGCATCTCTGTAGGAGACTCGGAGACTTTTTGACAATAAAGCCTGCCAGGCTTCCAATTTATCCCTAAACTGGTGAGCTTTGTGTGGACCAGTTCAGGAAGGGATGGGAGGGACCCTGTATCAGTTGTTTCAGCTGGGAGGGGATGGTGAGGGGTCCCTGGTTCCACATCAGGCACTGGAGGGCAGCTATTTAGACCCTATTTCCTATTTCCTTCAGGTCCCTTTCCAACGCATCCAAACTGTCTCTGCTTCAGTTCTGCTTCACTTCTGGTTCTTTATCCTATTTTCTTTCCCATTTTCCTTACCAGGTGCTCTTCAGTGTCCACATTCCTGTTCTAGTCCCTGCAGTCACTCCTACAAAGCTCCTGGACCCAGCCGTTTCCCTCCTTGATCCTCCCCAACCACTTCCTAAACATTCCCTAAACACCATTCCCCCCAGGTAAAGCACATCCTTTCCCCTCTCCCCATATGGTCCTGACTTCCCACATTTTACAAAGTCCTTAAGGAAACACAGCATTTCCTCCCTCCCACTCCCAGTCTCTGCTGATCAGCCCTGGGTTACCCGCACTTCCCCTCCCCTCCAAGGACAACTCAGCCTGCCAAATTCCAGATTTCCAATCCAAACAGGCTTCTCCCGATCCAGGCACTGCATGGGCTGTGGAGATGGAATCTGCAGGTCCTCAGGTTTCAGGATACACTGTCCAAAAGTCTGCCCCAGGAAACCTGCCTTCCTGAGATTCCTGCTATTGCCCAGAGGTGAGATTCCTCAATCCCTACATTGGGATTCTCCTCTGAAGGAGACTCTGTCTACCATGGCTTGTAGCAGTTTATTCTCACAGGGGAACCTTCACTTTTCTAAGCAACTCACAGAATGTACTGCAGTGATAACTTGGCCAAACTTGGGTAAATTTTAATAAAGAGGCGGAAAAACCTACTAGAGGTGACAAACTCCATCACTCTCAGCTTTTAGTTCCACGTTTCAGGACTAGAAGCAGGAAAATCTCAGAGGGAAAGACTAAAGACCCCAAGATATGCAGAGCTTAGAGAGCCTTATGCATCTGGCAAACTGTCCACAAAGCAACTGCAAGTCAGAGAAGAGGAGGGGATAAGGATCTTTTGACCTGGGATGAGAGAGCAGAGATGGATGCACAGGAAAGCAGAAAACATGGGGTTTCTGTGTGCAGATGTCACAGAATAATAGAACCATGAAATGGTTTGGGCTGGAAGGGACGTTAATGACCATCCCGTGCCACCCCCTGCCATGGGCAGGGACACCTTCCACTATCCCAGGTTGCTCCAAGCCCCGTCCAACCTGGCCTTGGACACTTCCAGGGATGGGGCAGCCACAACTTGATCCACAAAATGAGAAACTGTTGCCCTCAGGTCTGACAGCTGCTGAACAGGGCCCTGTGCTCCTAAAGCTGCTGCATTTCCATTTTAAAAGAAAAATAGAGGTGGGAAGAAAGGACCTTGGGCAGAAAACACAGCAGGGTGTGCACAGCTCGTGCAAGTTCCACTTGTGAGAGCATCATCCACTCCAGGACTGGAGAGACTGCCAGAGACGCCACTGGTGTTCAGATTTAACCATCTCCCTATGAAAGGCAAGTGAGGGGACAAAAGGAAATCCCAGAAAAGACAAGGTTGATGCTGGCAGGGATCTATTCTGGGATCCCTCGAGGTCGTTTCAAAGAACACACCAGCTTCTTGAACAGTCCTGACCTTTGCTGTGAAACAAGCTGTGAAACCAGACAAACTGTCCTACCTCCATTATATTCCACATTTCCAGAATGTCCATTCTTTGCTTCAAGTTTTTTTTTTTTTCAGGCGGTTTTTGATCTGGTAAAAGAAACACATCAGCTCCCTAGTCACCAGTGCTAGGACTCAAAATTTATGTAGGTATGCACAGAAGGAGTTGACTCAGGGGAAAAATCTAGATTTATATTGTTGGTGCTGAAGCAGAATTCATTCCTCACACAGCAGACACGAAACCAGAGCTGTTTCATGGTGAGAAAAGTCACAGTACAACATCAAACACGTTGTTTACATAGCCCAGACTTCTGACACTGGTCAGTCCCAGGTGATTTTAGAAATACTGTTACACTTCCAGGGAAAGATTAATACAGGAAATCTGCCCCACAAGGGAATTTCCTCTTTACATGTGCTGAGTGTGTGTGTCTTACAGCCCCAGGCCACAATAAAAAATACTGCTGCTAACTCTGGATGCTCTTATTCCCACATGGACACTGACACCTTCCCAGAAATCCTTCCAGTTTCTCAGCCTTGGTGCACACCTGCACAAGTGAATTCCACAGGGGAATTCTATGCTCTGTACAGAAGCATTTCCTTCCATTAATATTATCTGTAATGCCTTTCAATTCCACTGAATTTTTCCTTGCTCTCAAAAACTGTCAGATTAATCAGGAATTTCTACCTTCCTCCCTCAGTTTTTATGTATTTATATACTCCTACCATGCCCCTCTCACCTGCCTCCTTTCTGGAATAAAGAATTCAGCAACTGTCAGTCTTCTTCAGGAGCCATTTCAGAGATAGTGGAACAGCCTGATAATTCCAACAATGCCTCAGAAACCTCAAACCTCATTCCACGTTTTATGATCAGGCTGCATGCAATTAAAATTAGAGAGACTGATAGATCAGCAGTGCTGGGCTAAGCCATTTTTACACTGTGTACTCATCCAGGAATAGGCTGGTAACTGATTTTTTTATTAAGTAAATTTTATCTCTACCAATAAAACCGAACCTTCTGGTTAGGATGGGAGAGAAGAACAACTCCATACAAGCACTAAAACTTTCCGCATAATGTGATTTCATTTCGTTCTCTTTGGCTCTAAATTTTCCTCTTACGCTGCAGTCAATATTTATAACATTAGCAAATGAAGAGGAATTTGATGGCCTGGCTTTGATGAGAAACTTTGCTTTTAATTACTCCTTTTTTTTTTTACTGCATTCCTGCTCTGCTCTGGCTAAGGAAAAGCCATATTCCTTCCTTCCCTCCAAGGGGGAGGGGGGATCCTGTTTCAACCTCTACATGAGAAGAGCACCTTGACAACAATGTAGGCATAGAAGGGAGAGAAGGAGAAAACATCCCTTTGGGAGTGATCCCCTTGTACAACACGCCTACCTCACAGGGGTGCTTTGATCTGTTGCTGTTTGCAGTTTAAATTTCTAAGAGAAAGGACAGTCTGAAAAGATTCCCAAGTATAACATTGAAAATAGAAGCAGCCATGGGAATATCAACAGTCTGACTGGGACACCAGGGATTCCACACTGATGAAGAAGGAATGTTTCAGTGCAGGGTGAGAGAGAAGCTTTGGGCTATTTTTCAGAGCTTGAAGAACTTCTCAAGGAGTTACAAACATTCGTTTTCCTTCTAGGCCTTGAATTACTGTCAGAACATAACAATGAACTTGGAACAGCATTCCCTGTCCAGAGATCATGAGCACAAAGGCACTTTGGTCTAAAGCATAGGATTGTAGAACTCCAGAGTGGTTTGGGTTGGAAGGACCTTAAACCTCGTCCACTGCCACCCCCTGCCATGGGCAGGGACACCTCCCACTAGCCCAGGTTGTGCCAACCCGGCCTTGGACACTTCCAGGGATGGGGCAGCCACAGCTGCTCTGGGCAACCTGTGCCAGGGCCTCCCCACCCTCACAGCCAAGAATTTCTCCCTAAAGTCTTACTGAATCTTTACTGAATCCCTGATTGGAAGTTTTCCTGGAGTAGATAAAGCTGTACCTTATAAACCTGTTCCTGTCCACAGCCCCCTGAGAGCCACAAACTTCCAACTGACTGATACAATTTCTGACCTGTCATAAGCTTTAAAATAGAGATGATTCAGGAAGTGGTAAATTTGACAGTGTGAGGAATTTGAGTGTATTAGTCACACTTGATTAAGAACAAGTAGTTGAAGAAAAGATTAAATGTAGCATCAAAATATATTAGAATCTTGTCAGACATTCCTTATTGGCTTAGTTATGAGTTCAGAGGCAAAGTGTTGGGGAGGGTTAAATCTAATAAAACTGGAGGAAAAATTCCCCTTGCACCAATGCAAACTGGTGGAAATTTGTATTCCCAGGCCTTTGCATATGTATATGTGTGCATATGTATAAATATGCATGTATACACACACATTATATATAGCTTTTCCAGTTGACATAAGACACTTCAGTAAGAAGCAGTGTATAAAAATATGAAAGGAAAGTTTTATGAAACGCAGAACACAGAAAACTTCAGTCAGTAAGGAAAAAAGACCTTGGGGATGAAATATAAATAAGGGGTAACCATGTCGGTAAAAATCTTTGTTGGGATTGTTCTTTGCCTGCCAGTGCTATCCAGAAATACAGAGAGATTGCCAAAAAATAAACCCAAAGGAAAGATCTGAAGTTATATCTGCAGAGGGTATAACTGCTGAAAACCAGGCCTCTGCTCCCTTGAAAAGGGAGTTACACGTCCAGCTCAGTGTCCAGGTAACAAAGCCCAGGTTTTCCTCCAGACTAGCTGAGAAATACCCCATTTTTGGTGTAAAGCACAGGGAAGTCCTGGCTGTGTTTCCAGCGGGCCTGGATTATAGTAAAGATGCCAAGTGCTTTTTCTCCACCCCATTGATCTGCCCTAGAAAAGAACCAATTGCAATTCCCCCTCCAGCGTGAGCAGCTGCACTGCCCTCATCCCTTTGGGATCCTTGGGAAGCAGGAGGTAGAACAGGCACAGGTCACTCATTTGTTGGGGAGAGGAAAGCAAGAGATGTGAAGCTATTCTCCAAGGAGTACTGCACTGCACACCAAAGGATTCAGGGATGTGTTTTCATTCACACCTACATGAAAGTTGCTTTCCTGATGTGATATCCTGATTTATATCCTCTCTGATCCAGAGGAGCTTCATTAGGAAGTTGCCAAGGATCAACATTTTGACTGTTTCAGCCTTTAAGTGCCAAAGCTGGTTCATTTTCTGCAAGCTGAGGGAAGGAGAGTCACTCTGTAGGCAGCTGCCACTTGTTCCAGGACTGTGTGAGTCATATTTGGGTGTGCAGTGACACACTCCCCTGTACTTTCACACTAACTGGACACATTGGGTCTCTTGGCTTCATTGTGACGATCCCTCTGATTCCCAAATCCCTTCCATCTTTAGGATGGAGCTTCTTTTGGGCAGGATGGAGCTTCCTTTGGGCAGGATGGAGCTTCCTTTGGGCAGGATGCTTCTGTAAGCAAAGGAATGAGGTAGCCTACTTTCCAAAGCTAATTTCTTTCTCCAAGTGTGGACATGAGGAAGGTGGCAGAGGGTGGGATGTGACTTCAAAGCAGATGGAAATGCAGAAGAACAGTTGCTTAGCACCTATAAAAGTCAGGCCCACTTCTTCACAAGAGATGTGTGTATTTAGGGATCCATATTTAGCAATCTGCATTTGAATTTTGGCCTCTAAATAACCTAAACCCATCACAGCTCTTTTGGAATGTGTAGATGATTAAATAAACAATGAAATTAAAAGTCATAGGGTTCCTGCTGCGGTCCTGGCACCAACCAGCTCCTTGGCACTCGGGAACAGCTTTTGTATTACCTTGGGAGCTTTGCCATCTATTAATGAATGACAGGGAACATAAAAAAGTGCTGTAGAAACTAAATTCCACAATGATTCCTCAGCCGGTGGGACAATAGGGATCAGCCAGCAGCCTTTGTCTGAGCAGGAGATGCAAATTAAAGATTGGAGTCAGAGGGAATTATTCAACCTGGACTATTTCTGTGGGCACGGGAATGTTTGGGAACTGGTCTGTAGCATCTCTTTCTCTGGGAATAAATCGATACAACACGGTAGGACAGAGACAAAGCATCTCAGAAATGTATTTTTAAAAAGGCTGTAGAAATGCTCTACAGGCAGGGCGAATGTGCTCCAAAAGCACTTGGAAGCTGAAAACATTTCCTTCACATTCTACTCCTTACTCGATTAGGAAAGCTCGCCCGATAAAAGGAGCACGAAAGTACCCTGTAATGACACAGATAAGGGAAGAAAACAGAAGCCTTTCATTCCCATCAGCATCTTCTGCCTTTGTCTCAGCCGGCCCTTTAAGCCCGGCTTATGCCGACACTATTAATGTGGGTGTCTGTGACCAACTCCGGGTTTTTATGTTAGTGACCTGATTCCGCACTAACACGCTCCTCCCAGCTCGGTGAAGCTCCCCATGTGATCCGTTCTTCCCCCTAAATAAAGTTGACAAATCTGGCTGTGCTCAGAGTGCTGCCGAGGGGGTGCAGAGCTCTTCCCCCCTCCGCAGCTGCGGCACCGCCGCCGCACCGGGGCCGCGCCGGGCCGGGCTCGGGGCTCCAGCACGGCGGGGCTTGGGGCTCCCAGCACCGCTGGCCCCTCTGGAGGAGCCCAGCGAGCCGAGCAGGATGCGGCCGGAGCAGGTGAGTGTGCGTGGATGCTGCGATGGATCCTTTGTGCGGCTCGCTGGGAACCAGAGGAGGGAGGGGGCAGCGGGGGCAATTTTTTAATGGGCACAGCCCGAAGGTTTGTTCCCTTCCCCGTGTGCCCCTTTCCCAAGGGATGTGCCTGATGAACCGATTCCCAGCAAAGCCCGTTTTCCCCGAGTACGGGCAGCGCCTGCGGCAGCGGGGCCACCCGGGCCGGGCACGGGGGAGATCGGGAATGCTCCGCTGCATCCTGCGGTGCTGCTCCGGCCCCCGCAGCCCCCCGGGCGGGCACTCGGGCGTACCCGGCACACGGCGCTGGGGCTGGCAGGGCACGGTACCAGCGTACGGGCTGGCACGGCACGGCACGGCACTGCTCAGTGTGGTACCAGCGTGCAGGACTGGCACAGCACCGTGATACCCGAGTGCAGGGCTGGCACGGCACGGCACAGCGACAGCCCCAGGCCAGGCTGGCACAGCACGGTACCAGTCTACGGGCTGGCACGGCACGGCACCGGGCAGTGTGGTATCTATGTACAGGCTGGCACGGCACGGCACGGCACAGCGATAGCCCCGGGCCAGGCTAGCACAGCGCGATGCCGGTGTACGGGCTGGCACGGCACAGCACGGAGCGGTATTGGTGTGCAGGACTGGCACGACACTGCACAGCACAGTACCTGGCACAGCACAGCACCGTAACACCCGTGTGCGAGGCTGGCACGGCACGGTACTGCACATTGAGGTACCAGTGTGCCGGACTGGCACCATCCCTGAGCAGCTTCCAGGGCTGGCCTGCCCATCCCGCTGTCCCCCAGCCCGGCTCAGGGCCACTCGTGGCCCCCCTGGGTGTCCTCCTCTAGTCCCAGGTGTGACCCCCCTCCCCTGGGTGCAACTTCCCACAGCCCCTTCCTACAGACCCACATCATCCTGCTCCCGGCACAAAGGTGCCCCTGGAACCACCTTCCCCCTCCTCTCATGGGATGTGTATCCTCCTCTCCATCCCCACCGGGGCTCCCAGGACCCCCCATTCCTTCCCATCCATCCCACACCTTGTCCTGCTCCCTGTGCTTCCTGAACTCCTCACTCCCCAAAGAGACGATGCCCCCATCCCATGCCCTCCCAGGCAGGGTTCAGCAGTGCCCTGGGATCTCTCAAAGGCATTTCACTGAACTTTTCCCATTTGGAATGTGATTTGGAGCTAAAAGGAAAGTCACTGCAGCAAGCACTGATTGCTTAAAGTCTTCATTCCCTTCTCCCCCCTTACCTATCCTTGAGCCTCTGTGCTGGGATCAGTTCACTGCACAACAGTTCAGCCACACAGAAACCAGTACTGGCTTCAGACTGGGACAGGAGGGCAGTGAGGAGGAGGGAAGGTGCTTCCTTGCTATCCTACACCTCCCAAATCACAAGGAGACTATTCCCAGATTGTGCTGTGAGAAAAGAAATGGGATTTGATTCCAGAAATGTACAGACACAAAGTAGCTGCCTCTAAACTGACATTCATCACTCCCCCTCCCAGCCCCTGCTCCCTCCCACCCTTTCACTTATTATTTTCCTTGCATAATTTGAAAGGTGAAAATCCCTGAATACTGAATATATGGCAGTTCTAGACTGTGTCTGTTCATCAGGAACAGGCTGCAAGGAGAAGAGTTTTAAAATGAGTGGAATGAAAAACTTGAATGTTCAAAAAATCTTTTGCTCTTTGGCCAGTTAAAAAAAAATATGTTATTCCTGCAGGAGTTTCAATCTTGGCAGATTTTAGATCCAAGAGAAAGGCTGCAGAGCCTCCCATTCGTAACTGCTTTCCTTGCTTGTGGTAGGGAAGGAGAAATAGGGAGAGGAGAGATTAAATAGGGAGGGGGACACAAAACCAGATCTAATTTGTTCATTCCTATTACAATCAGCCCAGAATTAGAACCCTCCTTCACCTGCACAGTAAATGAGAATAAAGAGGCCACTGATCCTATTTTAGGGGGGGGTTTAGGTTTTAGGTTTGTTCATTTGAATTCACCTCTAATCAGCTTTAGTTTTCTAACTCAGGGGAACAATTAAACATCCACCTGTACCTGTACTGGTAAATCCTTGTTGTGGCTCCAAAAAACTAACCAGAGCATTGGGGCAAATTGAGCTTAAAAACAGGTAAACAGGGAAAAATCACTGAGCAGGTTTAAGTTCAGTATAGGCTTGGGAACTGCTCACTCCAGGGCTTGTATTTACACAGAATAACATTTCAAATACAGACCAAGGGAAAAATTCCCAGGTTGCCTCTCTGTGATCACAGGATGCCACTGCCCCGATTTTGGAAGGTGTATGGGAAGAACAGCATAAAAAAAAAGAATATGAACTAAATCAGAAAAAAGACCAGTTTCAAAGGGAGAAAGAATCCCCATTTCACAGGAGACATTTTTTAGCTGATGATCTAAGCCCGTTCCTTGAGCAGGAACGGCTTCTCAGGAAAATCCTCCCTCCAAAAAGAGGAATGGTGGTGCTGCTTTGAGAAAAACAGTCTCACCCGAGTTTTTAAAAGGCAGTGAAGCCTATTTCCAAGTGAACACCATGAAGGAACAGATCTGCTCAACTGCTTAGAGAGCAGCACTTTGATCCAGCACTGTTTCCCAAGTTTCAAAGGAAAAAAAAATCCAAACCCTTTCCTAAATAAAAGCCTGTGAAAGGAATAAGCCTCAGTGTCTCTTCCTCACATGTTTCTGCACATGGCTAAGCCTCAGTCCACACACCTATGGGGAGCACTGAATAAAAGCTACCGTAAAAATGTCATCCAAGAATTTCACTGATCAGGATAAGAAAATTCCAGGACAATAGACTTTCACTATATAGACAAGAAGGCTAAAACATGGATCACAGGTGCCTTTTAGTGACACTGGTTTCGGGAGGGAATTCATCAGGTGTTCCGTCTATGACTGATGTGCAATTTGTTCCTGGTAAAAGGCAGCAGTAACTTCCATAAGGATTTGGGCTTTGTACAGCCCAAAGATCTGCCAAAATATGCAGTTACAGGCAGGCTGTAATCACACCTCAAAAAAGCTGCTCTGTTAATCAATCACAGTTACACTAAATTAACACGTCATACTACCACAAGTCACCAATAAAACAAGAGGGATGAATATCAGCTTCAGAGAGAGCCCAAATCTAAACACAACACTGTTGCTTCAATGAATTTATGCTTCAGGGATTAATGAATTAAAATTAAAACCTTAAAACCAGAATTAGCGCCATGTGGGTCCTCTGTAAAGTTAATGCCCAGGAAAACAGTATCTTCTGTTTCTGGCCCACAGGAGTTCTGCTGGAACCCAAAAACAGATTCCTGAGCAGTGGTACATCCTGAAACTTCCCCTTGAATCCTAGAAGCTATTTTGCTCAGTATCTTTCCAGGCAGAGGGAAGATGGGATCAGGTTCTGCTCTAAAATGACTTGGTTTTCTCACACATGAAGAAATCCCTCAGAGTTCTCCGAGCCCAGAGCTTCAAGGAAAATCAGGATCCCCTCAGATACTGTTCCTTTCATAGGAACTGGACTTTCTGTTGGCTCCTGGCTCTGGCCAGTGCTGGGATGAGTTCTCACAAGCGCTTCCAAAACCGGTAGCCTTTTTTCTCTTCTTGCAGAAGGAAACCTCAAGTGTAATGAAGATAGAACAGGCTGAACAACTGCTAAGAGCAGAGTCCTCTTGTTCACCAGGATAAAACTAGTCTAAAACTCACTAAAGTGAGAGACCAGGGCTAGAACTTTGTACACTTCATTAAAAGATTAATTGACTTGCTTAAACCTTTATCTAAGCTGCCAGTTATAGCACTGGATGTAATCACAAGGGGCTTACGCAAATTCCATTTCCAAGGATGACCACGTGTGAAAATCTTAATACAGATAATTTTTCCTCTTTTGTTTTGGGATAAACAATAGAGAAGAAAAAGGCATAAGGAGGTTTTTTGATTCGAGGACTTTCCAGATAAATCTATGGTGTTTAACACCTACAAACCTGGTGACACTGCAAATATCCCTGAAGTGTCTTTCTGGAACAAGCCATACCCCAAAGGATAGAGATCCTACAAGGAAGGAGGAAGCCTGGCTGAAAGATTTCCACCTTAAGATTTCAAAAAACACTTTAAGCAGATAAATATTTCTGTGTAAATAGGTACATATTTAAAACACTCCTAAACCCTCTGTTCTTACATGGGAGTTTACAGAAGATGCAGCAAGGCTAAAAATCTCATTACGTGTTTTACAAAGCCTTTTCTCCTTCTCCCATTCCTTCCTCCTCTCCTTCCCTTCTCCTTGTCCCGACTCCCATTTGTTCCCACTCCCACTCTGCCTTTTGTCTGCTGCTCCCCAGCTCTGGAGGAGGAGGAAGAGCCATTTACATTCCAGGTTTCCAGCATGATGGAGACCCTTCATCCAAAGGTTTTTCACATCAAAAAGATGCAAATTCAGAGAAAAGGAGCCACATTCTTCCCTAATGCAATTAAAATGGAAGAGACAATTTGAAAGGCAGCAGGGAGATTTACAAGAAAACTGAAGGCAAAAGGAAAGCAAGGTTGAAACTGTATTAAAAAATCAATATATATTTAGGATTATATAAATGGTAGAAGTAATTCATCATTGGCACAGAGAATGTGGGGATGACAACACGAGAGAGACACACAGAGACAGAAAACAAGACTCTCCTGCTACTGACATCGAAGAGATTTCTTATATTAACTCACAAGGAGCAGGTTTATAGTTTCGGGTCAGTCACCTTAACTTTGGGAAGATATTTTTGTGTTGCTCTGAGAAAGAGTACTGTACCTTTTTCTCACTTGCTGCTGGTTTATCAACCTCTATGGTCCTTATCAAACATCCTTAATCTCCAGCATCAGGAAGCCAAAGGAAGTCTGAGTTCCTCAAAGGTCAGGGATGAGAAATCAGCTTCCCACTGACAAGGAAGGTGCAGGAGCTCATGTGATTCCTGGCCTTCATCCTTCTGATGAAGCTGAAATCACCAAACTCACTCCTTCCTTTGAAACACAGAATCCGAAAGCAGAGTTATCCTAACAACATAAACCCCCAGACCACGTCCAATTAAAACTTCCTACAAGTCTGATCTCCCACATGTTATTTTGACTTCATATTTTTTTAGGGATCCAATGCAAATCATCAGTAGTCTCTTTAATACAACACCAATAACATCATTATTACCAAGGCTCTGGCAAACAGAGGCAAGGGCTGCCCTTATGAAAAGGGAGGAATCTCAGTGAAATCAAAAAGCTGTTGATGAACATTCTTATCTCTTCTCAGTAATTCAGGTTTTTGACAGGTGCCAATAACCTGAATTAATCTTGAGACACTGATTTTTGTGACTGTAATTTGCTTTGTTCCTCTCACATAAATTGCATCCAACCCACTCTTATTTTTCCACCCTCAAAAACTACAAAAAAAACCCCTTAAAAATCTATTTCTCTCTCCTTTGTTGGAGTATTCAGAGGCACAGAGGTCAAGCCTGGAGAATAAAAGGAAAGACAATGCCTGTCCTAAGGGTATTAGAAAACAAGGAGCAGGTTTTGTCCTCCCCACCTTATACTGAGTTGTACTAAAACAAAAAGACATGGAAACAGGAGCCAGGGTAGGGAAGTCCATCCCTAGGCAAGGACATGTTCTACACCAAGAGCCTGAGTTTATATAAGTATCAAACTAAAACATCACTATTTCATTAAAAGGTTTAAAAATATAACTTACAGATTTTCTAATGTGCTTTCACAACAAGTATATTCTAACAAATCAGTATTTCCAGACCAAAAAAAATAATAAAAATCACTCCCATTATTTTTGTCAATACCTGAATCTTTCTAACATATTTTATTAAATGTTAATGGGAATTAAATGTGCACAGGCCTGAAATCCTGGTTTGCATGTTTGCAATGCTCAGGCCAAATACACTGAAGAATTATGACTCACACAAAACCAACAAAAGGGAAGAATTATTTATTCTCTGCTGCTTGAATTAAATCAGAGCATGGACAAGGATGCTTTTTGGGGGGGGGTGGGTTAAGGGAAAGTTTCCTTTTCTTTGCACATCCTCTGTTTGAACTTCCCGAGGTTCCTCTGTGTCCACCTCTCCAGCTCTGGAATCACAATGACCTGGATTATCAGCCAGTACTGTCCCTGCATGATCCCTTTCCGTGTTGGAGTTGTGTCAGGAACTCCTTGTTCACCCAAACAGCCCTTCCCCTTCCAACTGACACCCAGGCATGTTGACTGCCAGGAAAAAGCAAGAGTTCTCCCATAAAACTTCCTTCTTGGCACTTGCAGACACGGGAGGTGGGTCCCTGCAGCCATGGTTTGCAGTTTTTGAGGTTTCTCTCACCCTTCTTGCCATCCTGGGTCACCAATCCATGTCCAAGCATCAGGAAGGAGCATTCAGGAAGCAAAGGCAGAGTGGAAGGTGGTGGTGGCACCCCACAGTTTGTCACAGCTGCAGCAGAGCCACCAACAGAGTCCTCACACACTGTTTTGAAGGGATTTCTCCATACAAGCAGCTTCTACCCCAAAATGCAGCTGGAGCACAAGCAGAACTTTGCAGATTTAAGATTTTAAAAGCATTCCTGTTTTGATTTTGAAAATCCACATATCTGAACTGATGGAGAAATGGAGTTACAAATGACATCCCTGCACCTTCCTGAGCAGTCCAGTCCAGCACCAGCTGCCTAATGACTTTAGATCCTTCATATTTTATTTTCCCCACAGGAATCTGATAGCTGTGGATACAGATGAAGTGAGATACAGGCTCAGGCAAGTATGATAAGATTTGATTTCTCTTAGCACTGAGACATTCCACCCTCCTGCACTTCCATGTGGGTGGTGGACATTTGGCTGCTCCATAAATCAGAGGGGGCATTTCTCAGTTTCTCAAGTTCTTTTATTGCAGTTTCTTTCTTTAGGCTACTTGAGAAAGATGTTGAATATGTAGCCGAGGAACACTAAAATATTCTGCTGTCACCCCCTCCTGATCTATGACTTGCCAGCAGTGCAACATGTAGACATTCATCAAAGATGTGCCACGTTGCACTTGGTCCCTTATGTGAAATGAACTTTCAATCAGCTTCACAAACACCTCAATTTACAGTAAAATGTGATTTTCAAACTTTCTGTAAAATCCACATTTATTTCTGACTCTGGGAACATATTGTTCCAAACTGGCAAGAATTGCTATTTACATCCTCTAACATCAACAAAGTGCTAATCTACATAAACAGTCATTATTGCTAACAAGAATGGGCTGTTAATTAGTAAGAGGGACCCTCAGTTCTCTGCTAGCCTGAGTAGGATGAACCTCACATTTCTGTAAAGAGGGGGAATTACAACTGCACCGCATCTCTGAACAAACATTTCCAAGATCTCTGAAACCTAATTTTGGCCTCCAAGCATTTGGGAGGAGGGTGGAGGGGGTTCAGAGCAAGCTGTTATTTGAAATAAATAGCCCTGAACGTGCTTAGACCTCCCCAAAGTAAAATATCCCATGGCCAAAGCCTGAGTGGAAGCAGGAATGAAGAGCAGCCCAGCCTTGTTCCTCCTCAGATTTAAGTCTGAAATGGGATTTGGATGAGGGGAGGGAAGGGGGAGGACAGAGCAGCCCTTGAGAACTGCTCAGATGAGGAAATATTTTGTATTTGTCACACACAGCACGTATCAAAACCAAATGACTTAAATGTGTTTGAAATTCCAGCAGAATTAGGAGAGAGGAGGGGGTTTAAATTCTAAATTAAAGCTCAGTGCCTGTAGGGGAGCTCTTCAATAATCCTGTGTCGTTTTTCACCCAGGGCCTTTTTCCAGGCTCCAGATTTGCAGTGAGGGCACCTCCCCAAGTCCAGGATAACGAGGACAAAAACCCCCAATCCAAACCCTCTCCAGACAATCCCTGTCTGAGAGCAGATATCAGAGAGGAGGGGAAATTAAACCTTTTCATGAGAGCTCCTGTTTGCAGCTGATTTTGTTCATGTGTGTGGTGTGAGCAAACACAAGTCACAAAACCTGCCTTTGATTTCACCCTCTTTTGGGAATATCTTGGAGAAGAAAAGAAACACCTCTCAGTGCAACAATTCCTAAGATAAAAAGTCCACTTGTTGCAGTGCCTTAAGCCCAAGGATAAGCTCTGCCACCACAATGTTACTGGAATATTGATTTGATTTTCTCCAATTCTCTCCTCTAGAACACAAAGAATCCCAAACTGGCACTGGGCTGAGCTTTCTCCTGACCCTTGGTGAAGAAAACAACACGTTCCTGACCTCCTGACTTGGGATATAGAGGAGCTGTGCTGTAAACTTTGTGCCACAGGCTGTTACTCCTGCAATCCCTGCCTTCCAAAACAAAGAACACTTCTGATCTCACCTATGCCTGGAGAACCTGAGGAGAAAACCATCTCCTGGATGACACAGGTGCCAAGGGAATCATCGTTTTTGCTTCTCTGGGAATTTTGAGAACAGCTCCTGAATCCCAATGAGGCCCAAGTTCACAGAGGTCCCTGGACCTGCACTTTTGGCCTCACCAGACTATGAAAACTTTGCTAAATTAAATACAACAGGGGACACTGAGAGTGAGCAGCTGGAGGGGTCCCTGTCGTCCACCATTGCGCTGATCGTCGTGCTGACCATCATCTTCTCCTTGGTAATGACATCCCTAATAACCTACTGCTTCCACAAGTGGAAACTCAGAGGGAAAAGACTGCAGAAAGCACAAGAGGAGTATCAGAAAGACCATGAAAAGAGCATTTGCCAAAGCACACCTGGACTTGTTTCATAAAAAAAAAAATGGAAAAAAAGGATCCACCATGAAGAACTCTTGAATTACCTGGAAATGAAAATAACGAAAGTACTGCAACTATGAGATTTCCAAGCAAATACATCCTTGTTTTATCTAATTTCTAAGAGTTGTTAGCAGTTTGGAGATTTCCTACAGCTTTATTATACCTATATATATATTTATATATTTAGCCTCATTTGTGCAAAGTAAAACCAACACAATCATTTATTTCTAATCTCTTTTGTCATTTTAATCTCTCCACAACCTCTCTGAGCAACCTGTGGCAGTGATTCTTGGCTGTGAGGGTGGGGAGGCCCTGGCACAGGTTGCCCAGAGAAGCTGTGGCTGCCCCAGCCCTGGAAGTGTCCAAGGCCAGGTTGGAGCAACCTGGGCTAGTGGAAGGTGTCCCTGCCCAAGGCAGGGGGTGGCAGTAGATGAGCTTTAAGGTCCTGCCCAACTCTAACCATTATTCTCTGTATTACTAAATCAGTAAATTCAAATCTGCTGCTCAGACTCTTTTAAAAATCCACTGGAAGGTAAAAAGTCAGATTTTGGTCAGTGCAAACCAACTGATCCAAACCAGTGGAGTTATGTTGTCTTGCACTGACGTAACCATGGGCTGAAGGGATTGAAATCCAACTAGAGTCTTGAGTAAATCCAATTCCCAGATGCTCAGAGAAGCAGCCTGGTCCTGAAGAACTGCTTGTGTCTTCAGTGACACTCCAAGCAGGACCAAACCTGAAATTTAAGTCAGGATTTCCTGAGAGGTGCTCGTGGCATTCCAACCACAAGTGGATCAAGGACATCCAACACTAGTGGAACCCAATTTCCCAAGAGCAGGGCAAGCCCACCACCCTTTTTTTAACTAGGCTTCTAATTCTTTTTAAACCAACCATACAGCCGTGTGTTTCTATTTGCAGAGCCTGTAATATCATGTCAGAAAGAAATGACAGATTTATTGTGAGTAGCATCTATAAGTCATATTTTCTAACCAAGTGATGGATGTAATATTAATAGATGTAACTGTTTTACAAAGTAGAAACCATGTAAAGTTACCACCAAGCCCCCTGCTCAAGGATATAGCTTGCTTGCAATTACCAGTAATGCTGTATGTATTTTTAAACAAGCTATAATACTGTGATGATGCTGTAAACTTCTGTAGGCAAAAACAAATGTTCTATTTAAAAATGTCAAGGTGAAAGATGTAAATGTTCTGGAAGTGCTACCAACTAAAAATATGAATTTTCACAGAATATTCTAAAGATTCTGCTCCATGCTACAGATATATTTTACAAAGGTATTTATGGGTCATACACACCAGTCTGTGAGAACAGTATTATTTTATTACAAAATAAATACATGAATAAACAAGCAGTGAATATCCATGCCCAGAAGTAGGAAAATGTTTGGTTTTTTTAAAATCCCATGATCAATTCTATAGGTCATTTGAAAGATGGAGGACCTTGTACCTTACAGACATAAGGGATCCACCCCAACACGTGTCCCAGACTCCCCCATCCAGATCCTGTCAGTGCAGCCAAAATTCTGCAGAATCAGTTGTGGAGGAAAAAGAGACATGAAAACAATGCAAATGTAGTATTTATAAGATTAATCTCTGTTTTGCCCAGATTCCAGCCCATTTTTTAAAGCCAGTGGCATTCAGAACACCAGCCCTGGTGCAGGGAGTGATCTGCACGCACACAGTCTCACTGAGGGGAGACAATAAAAACTCATTCTCTGAAAATCTGAGCGGTAATAAAATTACACTTTGAAGAAGGCAAGTATATGTGAAAACGCTTTAAAAATACAGGGCTAGAAGCACTCCAGCTCTTGCTGGAGGATCTATGGATGATTTGGGATAACTGCCCTGAAAGCTGCCATCTGGGGTTTTACCGAAGAAGAACTGGGAACATGAACCCTTCCAGCAGCAAAACCTTGTCCCTGGTGCCACCAGCTTAAAATTCTTTGTCGAGCTCCCAATATGAGTAAAAGGGTTCAGCTCCTCTTCTTGGAAGCTGATCAAACCGGCTATGGGAAAAAACAGAATTCAAAAACACCTGGCTCTCCCCACAGCCCAATGCCAGGAGTGGAGATGGGTTTATGGAAGGTCAGGGAGTGACCCCGGGGCAGCCTGCAGCGTTTCAGTTTTTAGTAAAACTTCAGGGAAAAGGTTCAAGATCAATGTAAGGGAGTCATGAAGATGGTCGGAGAGCCGGAGAACCTCTACCGTGAGGAAACGCTGAGAGAGATGGGATTGTTCAGTCTGGAGAAACATCCTTGTGGCCTTTCAGCACTTGAAGGGGGCCTACAAGATGGGGGCAAAGTTCCCAGCAGGACCTGCTGCCTCAGGACAAGGGATAACGGTTTTAAACTGAAGGAAGGTGGATTTAGGTTAGATATAGGAAAGAAGGTTTTTACAATGAGGGTGGTGAGGCCCTGGCACAGGTTGCCCAGAGAAGCTGTGGCTGTCCCATCTCTGGAAGTGTCCAAGGTCAGGTTGGAGCAACCTGGGCTAGTGGGAGGTGTCCCTGCCCATGGCAGGGGGTGGGACTGGATGAGCTTTTGAAGGTCCCTTCCAACTCAAACTATTCTATGATCCTAAACTGGACCAGTGGGACCACGACATATTCCCCCAGTAGCTGTAAATCATTATTTAAATATCCCAGAATCCCAGACTGGTTTGGGTTGGGAGGGATCTTAAAGCTCAGCCAGTTCCAACCCCTGCCATGGGCAGGGACACCTTCCACTAGACCAGTTCATCTTTGAATATATTTACCTTTGTTCCCAGCTCAGATCCAGGCACCTTAATTACACTAGACCTTCATTCCCATTCAGACCTGTGCTAGCAGCCTGTTGGGATGGAGATGGAAGTTTATCCTAGAGGAGATACAAAGAGATGGCCCAAGAGATGGATAGAAATGAGACTAAGGAATGACTGTGCCTGGCAGCCAGGTTAATTTTTTTCATAGCAGAAGCAAGGACAAATGGAAGTGAAAATTCCCTTGCTGCAGTCCACAGGAAAACTGATTTTAATTTGAAGAATACAACTTTATCCAAAGGGCCAGTTATAAAGCATAACATCACAAAAGTGGTTATCAGCATACACATAATATAAATATGATAAACTTCTATTTGCACAAAGTTCAGAGCAATAAACTCACATCACCAATCATTCAGAAGATTAAATAATGCAACTGTGTGTAGCATGAAGGCCAGAAAGACAAAGCTCCAAAGCATTTTTACCAGGCAGATTGATTTGTTGCTGAGCCACAGCTGCTTTCCATATGAATCCCCCTTGAGCCACCACAGTCCTTTTATACCCCAGCAAGCACAAACAAGGCAGCAGATGAATCAATATTCCTTGATCAGAGTTTTAGAGTGTTTCTTTGGATCAAAAGAAAAATCTGCTGCTGGGGGGGGGGAGCTCCTGTGAGGGGAAAAAAAGGAAAAGACATGATCTACTCTCTTTACCACATCCTCTCCATCAGAGTTTTTGGATCTCTCAAGCCTCAAAAGCTGTAGGACTATAAAATAAATTATTTAGAGGCCTGGATCATTCATTCCATAGTACATCCCTAAGAGCTGCTACAAGAAAACAGAAGGCAAACACTCAGATTTTGGAGTCATCCTTGATAAAAAAATGAAACAAGTGTAGGGAGCAGCAGGAAATGCATCCAAGAGGCAGCAGCAAAATCTGCTTTGATTTTTCAGAGGAGTTACCTGAGCTGTGTTTGTAACATTTATGCAAACAAACAAGAGCTGTGCAGTCACTGTGTGTGAGCATGACAACTATTCTACAGACAAACGTTGTCAGACTCCTAACCCAAATAACTCACAGTTTAGTGTATTTACAGGAAAGCTCCACGGGAGCTGCAAAGAAATATTTCAGTATCTCTACAAAGCTTCTATCAAAGGAAAAATACCAAAATATATGGATTACATTTTTAAGAAGAGTCCTGGAGCTCCCTTTTTGTGGTTTTTTTTAAGGGATGAAACCTGTGTTCATTGGCAAAACCAACAAAACTACATTTTCAGAGGATTCGGCTCTTTCACCTGCCAGCCCTTATGAGACTCCACTTGGAACACTGGGTGCCCTTTGCCTCATGTTTGTAGATGGCTGAAGAATTCCAAAGGCTTAGGAGAAACAGGGAGTGCAGAGCAAAGCAAATAAGGAACAGAGATGGAGCATCTAAAAAGGAAAGGTTTGGGAGATTGGAAGGCAGGAGATTGAAGGGATTTAAAGATTTCTGAGGATTACAGAAGAAGAGGAAGAAACCAGGAGAGTTTATTCATTACACAGGTAACCATGTAATCTGCCAACACCTACCTCCATATCCAGCACTTCTCTTCAGGTTTTCCATTGATTTGTGGGAAGGGAAAGCAAGAGGCTAAACAGCCCTCAAGCACTCTTAGAAACACAGAGCACACAGAAGGGAAAAACTACACAGGGAGAAAATACAAACCCAACTTCAACAATGCGTTGTCCTTGTCCCGAAATGGAAAAAAATCAAATGCAACGGGAAGATTTAATCCTCTTTGCTTTGTAACAAAAATTCAGGGAGAGTTCATAGGCAAGGATATCCCTTCAAGATTTCCAGAGACCTGAATGCACAGAAAGTCAGGAAGCTGGAGACTGATGAAAGGCAGTAATTTTGTGAGTCACACAAGGCCACAAGGTCCCAGCAGGAGCGATGGGATGAGCTCTTGCTGCCAGTACTGATCACAAAGGTGGGCTGCAGTTGTGCCCAGACACCAGCTTAAGGCTTTTGAGGCCACTAGGAAGATGATTTCATTGTCCAACCCACTGAGATTCCCAGCACAAAGCCATTTTATTTGCATGTGTCCTGAACCCCAGATATATTCTTTCAAAGACAGTGACTTTGTCATCTTGAAAAATTACAACAAATTCCGAAGTATATTAAAAAAAATAAGGCAAAAATATAATTCAGCATCTTATTCCAATTTTCATCCATGTTGTTTTTTCTCTCCTGGATACGTCTCCTATACAGATTCCATGATTAATTTATTATAATTTCTCGTCCCATTGCCATCCGCAGTCTTGCTGATTAAATTCTGTTATAGTCTCATTATTTTACTTCTATAAATACCCCATTTCATTTTACTGCTTTCTATAGTTACTTTGCAACGTGCTTTTTTTCTCCTCCACCTGGGGCCCTCACTTTCAATTTAACATGAGACAGTGGGCAAAGATTGAGCTGAAATGCAGTAATTACACCTCCCTGCCCTGAAAAACGGAATCATTTATTTTTCTTACGGATGGAAGCAGCTGTGAGCTGCTCTGAAATCCCACAGCAATCCTACAAAAAACAATACTTATTACTTGCCAGATTGATAATAGAAACTCTTGGCTTCTGTAATTTGAAAAACATATAGAGATGGATTACAATGTATTCGAACATTTGCATTTAGGAAGAATAAAGAGTTGACTCAGTACCCAGACACAACATGCTGGACATATCTGGTTCCACCTGCAGGAATATTACACCACCACCCAATTCATCACTGCCAGAGCAGGTTATATCCATATTAGTTGGTATTCCATGTGCAACTCTCCCAGTTCTTTATGTCCTTGAGTCATTTTACCACTTTCAGGCCTTACATTTTCTGACCTTTCAGCCTTTGCCACAAGGCCCTGGGATCCTCTGAAGGTTTGGGAAAGCTTCTGAGGGCTTCTCCTAGAAGTGTGAGCATGTCCTGAAACAAAAAGAAAACATGGATTTGTATTCCTGGCATTTCTCATGTCCTTTATCCCAGACCTGCCACTGGCAGCTCCATCCAGCCCCTCAAAAGCAGCTGGGTGGGCAGCACTTCAGCAGCACAAGCTGGGGGGGTTTTAAAGGGTCCTGTTTTAAAGTGTCCTGTTTAAAAATTCATGGTCAGTGATCTGCTCCCTAAAGCAGGTTTCTTCCCTAAGGAGGGAAAAGGAAAAGCAGATGGCCTTTGAGGGAAGCACGGAGGAAAACAAAGAGGAAAAAAGTGAAGCTTCACTTGACACTGAAGTTCTTAAATCTTAGGTACAGAGTGAGTGAGAGTCAAAAATCAGGAGAGTGGAAGTATTAGGGGAAAAAGGGAATGTGTGGTACAGCAAAAACTCCCACCTTGCTCACAAACACAGGAAGAGATCCCAGAGCTTCAGGAAGGCACTACTCATTCACTGCTCAGGAACAATTTGACTCCCTTTCAAGAAGGGAGAGAAGAGCTCTTCCTTCAGAGAGATCCAAGGAATTCTGTACCTTTCAGCTCCATTGCCTCCCATCTGCTCCAGAGGCACTTCCTACCCATAAAGCTTCAACCTTGTGACACTGGCACAGACAGAAAACAGTTTTTCCAAGAAGAAATCTCAGGGTATCCGGAAGGTCTCAGCCCCCATAACATCTTTCAGGGTCCTATTCCAAGACTCCTACACCAAAGGATGAGCAAGGAAGACCAGAATGGGCACAGTTACCTACTATCACATCAATTTATTTACCCTTTTGTCTTGCAAGGCCCATCAGAAAGCAAAAACAAGAGAGACCCAGAACCAATTTTAGGACATCCTGGGAATGACCTTCAGCTTCCATAAATCAGACAGGCTCAGATGATTTGATCACTATGTTGGTCCTAAAGCATTTTATTAATTGCCAAATTCTATTTTGACTTGCACTGCATTCAGGTCACTCTGAGCTCACTGCCATCAATCAGGGGAAAATCTGCCTTACAGATCCTTTAGTTGCAGTACCTACAGAATGCTGAAAAACATTATTTAACAAAAGGTTTTTACAATATTTGCTTACTCTGGAGTAAATCTGTTCTTCCAGTTTCTCTTGGATTAAAGCACCTTCCATCAGAGCCTTTTTTTGCCTGACAAAGGCAATCCTGGCCAGCTCTGCCTCCTTCTTCTGGCAGTCAGGGCATGATGAAGCCTCATGGATTTGAGCTTCTGTCACCTGGAAGAAGAGACTGGTGCAATGAGCAATGTCTGTCCCAGTGAAATGGCCACTCCTTAAAAATAATCAATAAAAATACAGATAGAGGGACTGTCTAAAGACAAAAACTGGCTTTTTAGGCAAATTCTTTCATAGTCAGCAATAACTCCATCATCTCGACGTGCTTGTCCCTATGCTGGCAGTGTTCACAAGGCCTCCAATGCCAACCACAGAGGTTGTGATTCTCTTCACAAATTCTAAGAGGCAAATAAACTCTGAAGCAATTAGTTCAAATATGCAGCTCTGAGGCAGAATAAAAACAAAATCCTACGTTTCTCTTGGGAAGATAACCAGTTCTACTCAGTAACTCCTGTGTTAGTTCATCCACCATGAAAACTTAAGAGTATTTAATGGCATTACATGAATCCCAGTGTTTGTGCTTTTGTGAAATATCAATAGTTTTATCTGATTTCATTGACACTGATTCCATCTGGCTACATAAACACAGTAAGTTGCTCCAAAAGCAGCGGAATCAATCCTGGTAAGTCATATCTCAAGCCTCTCTATCCTCTTCTTCCTTGACTTCTTCTCTGCATAAAAATGTGTGTGGAGGTAAAGACAGAAGCAAACAGACAGAGCAGTTACTTTTCTTAGAAAATATACATTTTCTAATATAAACCAAATATATTTAGAAAATATATTTTCTAATATAAGACAAATAAAGAGGAAGTAAAAATTCTACAAAATTTGGAAGGTGAGTTAACCTTAATACAGTGAAAAAAATAATGCAGATGGCTGAAATCTCAAAATAATTTAAACAGACAGATTTAAACAGAAATAATTTTCACACCAAAACTGAATTTAAAGTATTACTTCTAATATTTTAAATGGTATTACTTTAATTACTTTTAGAGAGGGAGGGGAGGAGCTGTGGCAAAAAGCCCATCCTGTGGTGGGAAAACCCACTGGGCTGGTGAAAAAGAAAAGCACTTGGAATTGGGTAAAGGTGATACAGATGTTTCTTAATCAAGGCACTAAGGTCACCAAGATTTTATTGGACCTGCTTTAGTTCTTTAATATTGCCTAATACCTAAGAAAGCTGGGAGCAGGGGGATTGCCTTTGCAATACTTCTAATCCTGGAATCACAAAGACTTCACAGCAAATGATATGCAGAATAATTTGATAAATAACCAGTACCAACATAACCAGCAAACAAGGCTTTTTCTTCTGCTGATTCATGGCTTACTGGGTGTGCAATAACTGATGATCCCAGCCTGGCTCAGTCACACAAAGCATTACTTTATCAGCAGCCAGTTTCTGATGATGATTTGATTATTTACTAGCAGGAGTGTCTAAGAAAGGAGACAGATCAATCCTGGGGTATCAACCCAGAAGCTCTTTCAGAGGCCTGAGAGAGGCATCACTAAGCTCTGCCTGATTTGATCCTCATGGTATGGCTTTATTATTCAGTGCTTTAGCCAAAATCTCCCTGGCTTTCACCTGTTTAACAGTCTCTCTGGTGTTTTCCAGGAGGATTCTGTTCATCAGCCGACCAGGAACAATGCAGTTCCCATCTCTTGTCCCAGTTTTCCCTGCTGGGACTCCATCCTGCAGCTTCCTTGCCTTGCCCGTGTTTGCTTGCTCAGGGCTCAGCTGCTGGTTCATCCCATTTATCTTCCTGGTGCAAAAAGACCTGAGCGCATCCAGTTCTCCATCAAATAATTCAGGAATTTCTGTCAGGCATAAGTCAATAAAACAAAACCATCAATTACTGTATCAAGGAAAGAGAATAATTCCTTCCTATATCTATATATCTATATATCTATATATCTATATATCTATATATCT